CCAATACAAATGTAAGGAAGAAGAAAGTGTATCACAGCTCAGGAAAAAAAAGCACCGAAATAAAGCACCGAAATGTGCGCTGCTTTTCGGTCTGGTTACTACCGTTTATGTCAGATCACCAGATACCGGTACCCATCCCTAGTGATAATTCATTTGTCAAAACTTATTTCCTGAATTATAAATTCATAATGGTTTAAAAGAATGCCTATGTTGCTGTCCATCAAAGTGATTGACACATTAGGAGTTCACATTAGGAGCCTCGCTTTCTTTGGGCTTTGCCTCCAAGCAGTCAAAAGTCAGTTGATTTGAGCAAGCAGTATTTCTCTCCGAGCTCAAAGAGCAAACCACAAGAGCATGAAACTATAGCAGCACATGCACATGGCTGCTGAATTCTACCTGCACAGGCTGTTGAATTTATGCACGTTTTGCAATGAATACCTCGTCCATGAAATGGACACAGAAGACAACACAGCATCCATACTGCTACCATCAGCATTTTACTGCAGATGTCAAGACATCTTAGTTTTCTTAACAAAAAGAGGCGACTTTCCCCTTTTTGTATAGTTCGTCTGTGCTCAGGGACCAGTCTAAGTTGTTATCTAGGTGTACACCTAATATTTTGTTACTACCTCTACATCCACCTCATTAACATGCTGGGGAGGGGGCCTGAAACTTGGTAAATCTACTATTATTTACATTTCCTTTGTCTTAGAGATGTTCAGTATGAGGTAGTTTTTGTGACTGAATGCTGAATTAAGAAGAACAATTATTTGAGGGCTTTTATTTTGAAATTAAAAATCAGACCGATATGATACTGACTGAATACCACTGTGAGCATGTACAGTGGCTTGCAAAAGTATTCTGTCCCCTTGAACTTTTCCACATTTTGTCACATTACAGCTACAAACATGAATCAATTTTATTGGAATTCCACGTGAAAGACCAATGAAAAGTGGTGTACACGTGAGAAGTGGAACGAAAATCATACAGGATTCCAAACATTTTTTACAAATAAATGACTGCAAAGTGGGGTGTGCGTAATTATTCAGCCCCCTGAGTCAATACCACCTTTTGCTGCAATTACAGCTGCCAGTCTTTTAGGGTATGTCTCTACCAGCTTTGCACATCTAGAGACTGAAATTCTTGCCCATTCTTCTTTGTAAAACAGCTCCAGCTCAGTCAGATTAGATGGACAGCGTTTGTGAACAGCAGTTTTCAGATTTTGCCACAGATTCTCGATTGGAAATAGATCTGGGCCATTCTAACACATGGATATGTTTTGTTTTAAACCATTCCATTGTTGCCCTGGCTTTATGTTTAGGGTCGTTGTCCTGCTGGAAGGTGAACCTCCGCCCCAGTCTCAAGTCTTTTGCAGACTCCAAGAGGTTTTCTTCCAAGATTGCCCTGTATTTGGCTCCATCCATCTTCCCATCAACTCTGACCAGCTTCCCTGCTGAAGAGAAGCACCCCCAGAGTATGATGCTGCCACCACCATATTTGACAGTGGGGATGGTGTGTTTTGAGTGATGTGCAGTGTTAGTTTTCCACCACACATAGCATTTTGCATTTTGGCCAAAAAGTTCCATTTTGGTCTCATCTGACCAGAGCACCTTCTTCCACATGTTTGCTGTGTCCCCCACATGGCTTGTGGCAAACTGCAAACAGGACTTCTTATGGTTTTCTGTTAACAATGGCTTTCTTCTTGCCACTCTACCATAAAGGCCAACTTTGTGCAGTGCACAACTAATAGTTGTCCTATGGACAGATTCCCCCACCTGAGCTGTAGATCTCTGCAGCTCGTCCAGAGTCACCATGGGCCTCTTGGCTGCATTTCTGATCAGCGCCCTCCTTGTTCGGCCTGTGAGTTTAGGTGGACGGCCTTGTCTTGGTACAGTTGTGCCATAGTCCTTCCATTTCTGAATGATCGCTTGAACAGTGCTCCGTGGGATGTTCAAGGCTTGGGCAATCTTTTTGTAGCCTAAGCCTGCTTTAAATTAGTGATGTGTCCTGTGTGTCGAAGCGTCGAATCGTGTGTCGGGTAATCTCGGGGGCGTGTCTGTGAAGCGCGTATCGAGGCTTGCTTTGATTACGTATGCAGTGACGTTCGAGGCCTCGCGGGCAGTCCGTACCACGTGACTGATTCAGGGACTGGTTCACCGGTTCGCGCCAGATTCGAAATAAAATGGACAGAAAAACAGCTGATTTCCCGTCACACTGTGTTATGGAATTGGATTACGTACGTGTTACATAGTTACTTGAGCATTTCCTTAATCGATGGAACCAGGAAGGAAGAGATTTTTTATTTTATTTTATCTCTCCTAATAAAGTATGCACACAGTAATAAATATCACAAATGATAAGCACCATAATATAAATAAACAACACTACAGATCCTATAAAC